GTAGAACTTAGTAATAAGCAGACTACTTAAATAGGCAATTAAAAGTTGTACGTGTGGCTAGTTTGTACTCTCCAAAAATATGTATACTGTACGGGCATCGCAAGGGGCTTAGCGTACGGTAAAACTTGACTAATAACTGAATAAAGAGAATTGACCAAGAGGTCACCTTAAAAAAAAATAAAAATAAAAATAAAAATATAAATATATAAATTAGATTTGCTCTTTTATATAAAAAATTTTAATTTGCTCTAATAGAAATAAAGTAAGCTTTTTTCAAAACCAATTTTAGTAGCATGTGTAAATCTAATAGAGGCTTTAAAATTATAATTATTCAAAGATTTTTTAAAATTTTTATTTTTTTATTTTTGTTTTTTTATTTTATATATTTTTTATCAAAAACCTCTATTTAGAGTTGTTAATAAAATACTCTGAACTATAATAAAACATATAACCTACTCCAGTTTAAAACCAAAATATTTTATATATTTATTATAGTTTGGAGTACTCTATTAACAACTCTACCCTATTTTTATTTTTATTTTTAATATTGTTTTTTTTTTAATTTTTACTTCTCTATAAGGCGATGTTATTAGATTGGTAGCATTTTATTATAGAATAGTAGTTAGAAAAAAATTTAAAGTCTATAGATAACTCGGTATAATAGTTTTTTTAAAAGTAGCTAGAAAATATTAAACTCTGTTGGTTGAAATAAATAATAAATCTGTAATATGTACTAAGATTTAGTTATTAATAAAAAGACCTTTGGTGAAACTTCCAAAGTAAAAAAAAAACTTCAAATAATAATTCTAACAACAATAATAAAGCTTATCACTAAAAAAAAAAATCAGTATTTTTTTTATCCAATTTTGTATAATCTTTGTATTTATCTAAAATTTTAAATTTTTTAAAACTTTGAATAAAGTTATTTTGATAAATACTTGAGCAAATTTAATAATTTTTTTTGTATTTTGATTTTACAAACTTGTAAATTTAAAAAATCGTTTATTGGATTTGCTTGTATTTAACTAATTTTATTATAATTAACACCAGAAATCTATACAACTTGAAAATTAAAAAATATTTATTTAATTGAACTTAATATAAAATACAAAAAAGGTTTATTTTATATAAATTTAGAAATAGTACATTCTACTCTTAATATTAACTATATATGCATTATATTCATTTCAGTGAATTATTGGTATTATTCTCTTCGCAAATTATCAAGTCTAGCTTGTAAGGCTGCATCATCATTTGATTCCATATCTACGATTTGCGGAACCTTTTCTTTGGTGGTCTCTCTTTTCTCAATTGAACTAGGAGCGTCAACCAGCTAATTTTGGAATGTCATCAAATGTCAATGGTTATAAATGAGATCGCTGGATAAACGTAAGCTATAAAAAGTGGACATGGCCATACCGACTGATCCAGAGAGATCCCAATCTCATCCAAGACTTGATTTACAATCATGTCACTTTCCTCCTCGTCTTCTTCCTCAGCCATGGTGTCATCAATAACATCGTTCATCATTTCCTCTTTCATGTCCATTATTTCAGATTCTTTTTCAAATTCCATCATGATTTTTTGCATTGCTGGCAAATTCATTTGTCGGTTCATTGATTTCATGGCCTAAATCGATTAAATAATTAAATCTACAATAAGCAACATGGATAAATTATCGATTGCATCTTACTTTTGTTGCTCCCTTCATAGCTTCAGACATTTGCTGATTTGATCGAAGAGTCTAAAAAAAATTTTTTTAGCATAATTCACATTAAACCGATGAAATGGTGGTTTGAAAGTAACAGAATTTTACCTGAATTCGTAATGAAACAGCTTGAAGCTGTGTTTTCATTGCTTGGAATTTTTGAGAGTAACGACGAGTTCTGACAAGATCTTTAGCCATAATTTTACATGCACTCTATCAGACCCAACACAGAATCAAAAGAATAAGCTTTATTATAATAAGCAAATTTCTGTAAGGTATTCACACTGACGGGTATAAATTAAGCGTCATTGTTGTAATAATGAACGCTTATGCGTATACTAAAGTACGTAAAAGCCACCATACCACTTGATTTACTTTATACGTGTTCATTTTATTGGATTAAAAGATTATATTAAATTGTGTTGGTGTAGATTCTACTGTATCTCGGTACCACACATACAATCTCACATGATAGATTATGGCTTGCTGCCTCTAAATCGAGTTCGCATATCCAACTACAAATTTTCAAAAGAAAAAAAAAACGTCAATGCTACTGATAATTATATGCTACGTTGGTTTGAAATAAATTTACCAATCTTCTTTTACATTCAAAGAAACTTCTTCGAATGCTTTGACATTCTATGGGCACATCTGCAGCATTTTCGAATTGTAAACATTCTAATTTGTCATCGAAAAAAAATGTTTATCGAATTTTGTATATTATTTTTCAACACAAAACGCGGAAAGAGAACGCTCTTTTAACCTCGATCCAAAAGTAGTTATTATAAAAAGAGTGAAACTAGGATGCGAACCGAACATTGAACATATATAAAGATTATTATAAACCGATGAAT